TTAGAAGAAACACAATCTAACACGAGAATAAAGACGGTTGCAAATAAGAAATACTATGACCGCAATACAGTTGTTAAGGATATTCAAGTGGGTGATCAAGTATTGGTGATTAAACCAAAAAAGGGAAATAAACTAGCATTACACTCGGAAGGCCCATTCAAAGTAACAAAGAAATTGTCTAAATATAATATTGAAATACAAAAAGGACGGTGTCATAAAGTCTATCACCTGAATAGAGTTACCAAATATTTTGACAGGAATAACTGTGCAGATACTAACGGTAACAAAGATAACATAATGCATGGCACACTCGCGACAGTTATAACGGAAGAAGAGACTGAAGACACAATCAGCAGTGGTGATGATATGAATGTACCTGTTATTAACCATAGTGATAACACAGTGATTGATGTTACAACTTCTTCGTAACTTCATAACTTCAAATGTTACGACCTTAATTTAATAAGCTGAGGCCTTCATCAAATGTCGCGGCCTCCTTACGTTGTCTCCAGTTGCGACCTTCTCAATACTTGACATGTTAGGATCTTCGTCCTTACACTTCAACACATCGTCCAGTAGTTACGTTTACTGCACAGTCAGCAGACTCCACGTTGTCTAGGGGGTTTACAACACTTTCTTCATATCTATATATACATCACAACTCCAGCATGGAAATACAACAGTTCTTTATTTACAGGATCCAATAGCAATTCACAGTGACGACGTTCAATAGCGACAATACTAACTCTCTAACTATTGTCTCGGCTGGACTCTGACTGTCTAACACTCTCCCTGTCTCTCACTGACCCGGACTGCCCTCTAGCTAACACACACCCCCTTTTATATAACCACACAACAACTCAGCCTACGCAAACGTGCCACGCCACGGACTAACCTCACGCTCTGACCTCTCGACCAACAACTCACAAAACACTCACGATCCACAACTCCCCCTACCCAACATTCACAACAACTCACGCTCACAACATTCCTCCCCCCTTTCGTTGACATCACTCACAGTAGTGATGTCACACCCCAAAATGACATCACAACATTGCAATAACTAAAAATGAACAGTCTCATCGCTAGAATTCCAATATCAAGTAGAAAAAATACAACAACTCACGCTCACAAAATTACAATGGTATTCCGAGTCAATGTTAACTACACCCTCGGCAAAACATCCTAAAGTAAAATTACATCACCATCAAAATAAACAATAACCATTCCCTGTTCTCTAAACATAAAACATGGCACACCAAAAAAAATGTTTCGACCAAAAATAAGAGAAAAACCGACTAAAAAAAATTGTCAACATCGGTAATCCTATGGACAGCCATTAATTGTCAACATCGGTAATCCTATGGACAGCCATTAATTGTCAACATCGGTAATCCTATGGATAGCCATTAATTGTCCAGCCAGTTAGTACACTCTATGAGGGCGGGATATTCCGCTTGTCTGTCGCTTTCCAAAAAGCGTGCAGATTTCTCCCCCAGCTCACAACATCGTCTACAAACACTACTTGTCTCCCCTGGCTTAACATGTCAGCCCATACAAGCAATTCGAATAATACTTTACAAGGTAAATAGTTACACAAAATTTCAATACACATCGTCCAAGTCAAATGTTCACAAATGAAACAAAATTTACATTCCACACCTCCCAACTCATGGCAACACCTCTCAACAAAATGAAAACCCTCAATACGTTCAAAGCTTGAGCGCTCCCGGCTCTCATCACATAATACACCAATTTTATAAAACACATCAAAAACAAAATCAAAACATCCCCCACCTAAACCCACATGACATAATTTATGAAAAACATTATTTCTATCCTCTGGTCCCACATCAGGACAAAAGGTCACGTCCTCCACGGACTCAAAGTGACAACGGTCAACGACAAGACTGTCTGAGTCTAAACCAGACCTGCTACTACACTGGCTCTCGCACCTCGAGCAACCAGTGACACCTCCTGACTCGGCGTGTGGACTACGACCCTCGTAGCTCCATCTGAAGTCATTACCGATGACTTCGACTTTGTTCACCCTACGTCCCCCTCTCGGGACTGCCCTTGACAAGTTCACGACCTCCACGTCGTGCTCACCGTAACTTGTCCAGGTTCTGACACATTCAAACTCACAACACACACTTTCGTCACTCACACAACCAACAACTGCCTCTTTCACTAAATCAACATCTTTTTCCACTAAAAACTTCAAACTTCCCAGCTGTATATTAACCGACTCTTGTACATTATCATCACAAGTTAGATCACTGTGAACACCCGCACCAAAAAATTCTATTTCGACCTGTATCTCCACATTGTGTGCTTCAACTATGCTGACCTCCTCCTTCGAAACTAAAAAAAACTCCTCGCCTCTACACTCAGTTATGTTTGCCCTCATTTCCTCGGGATAGTTGATCTCCTCCAGAAAATCTGACATTTTCTCAGTGACCTCTTTTTCCTCCGCTAACAAAATAACACCTTCCTTATCATTTTCCCAAGTTTCTAATTTATCCAACGGAACAATCCCCCTCTTATCTGCCCCTGTGTCTTCAAAATACTCTTCAACTATTCCTAACTGAAAAAATTCCCATTCATCATTTCTCCTATTGTCCCCCTTCTCAGTTTTAATTTTGTTATCTGCCATCTCTTTCCACGACTTGCTCTCCTTGCACCATCTCTGGACATCCCCTCTACTAATGACCTCATTTATTTTTTTCCCTTCTGTCATGTAATTACTATCCTCTCTTTCCCCTTCTGACCAGCCATTTCTATCGTACGGATCTAAACAATTTATA